CCCCTCGAAGGCCTTCGCGCCATCCTGGGCCGCCGCGCTCCCCCGGCCGCGGGGCCGCTCCCCCCCTGCGGGTGGGGGCGTGTGGGCGACGCCAGAGTCACGGGGCCGCCTGCGCCGACGTTCGCGCGTGAGCTTCTCGGGCCGAACGAAAGGTGGGGGATAGGGAAAGGGAGGGTTACGAAATCTGCTGCATGCAGCTGGTTTCAGCCCCACCGAGGGGCCCCTTTCTCGATACACGGCCGCCTCCGGCGCCGGGAGGCGCCGGGAAAATCAGCTACGTGAGCTGATTCTCTGCCCGCCCCTTTGCTGTCCCCCCTTTCGCCTGGCCCGAGCTTCCCGTGTAAGGTCGCGCGTAAGCTTAAGTCGGGCATGTCCTTCTACAGGGGAAGTACTCATAAGTGGTCAAAAGTCTAGTCAGGGGGCGACTTTTCGCCTATTGCCGATGTTTGGATTATTTTTTTGCTCTTCCATTTTTCTCCCCATGTCCGCCTGTAGGAGGACATGGCCGACCTAAGCGCAGACGCTCCCGTCTCCAGTGTGGGTGGCGTGCCGCGCGGGCGGCCCGCGCAGGCCACCGCGTGGGGTCGCCGCGCCATCCGTCGCGTAGGCCCGCGCAGGCCACCGCGATGGGGTCGCAAGTCCCGTTGTGGGTTGTCGCCCAGTGGCGACAGAAGCGCGCCGTCGGAGGAAGCGGGGAGGACGTGCGCCCGTCGCCAATCCCCTCGGGGGACGTCGGCCCGGACGACACTTGCCGCCTCGCTACGTTAGCTAGCGTACGGTCAACCCGCACAGTGAGGATGGGCAACCTTCCCAAGGGTAGCCTTGCATCCATGCCTCCTTCGGCCCATCCTCAGCGACTTCCGCTGGCCGCGCCCCGCCCGCAGCGTGTCGACACGGCCTCCCAAGGCCCTTGCATCCTTACCGCGCACCCTTCTGATACGAGTTGACTGCAATATCCGGAGGGGAAAAAACACAGACACATCGAATCGTCGATTCCCCAGAAAATATGGGAAGATACAGGAAGTGGGGGGAAGACTAGAGCCCAGAAAACATGGGAAAATATGGGGGAACCCGTTATCCGTGTCTGTTTTCTTCTGTGCCCCGGGGCCCCTTCACAGGACCCGTCCTCGATCGCCTCGCCCGGGCGCCCGCGGGCCCGCGAGCAGCTGCCCTGCCCCAGCGAGGGGCCCCGGGCCTCCTCGGGGCGGCGCTGCCGCCCGACCTCCCCCTGGAGTGGCGCGCGTGTGCGGCTAGGCGGCTCCCTCCGAGGGCCTCTCGCCGTGGGGGGGGGGGGCCCTGCTCCGCCCGCCCGTCCCCGCGGCGCGGCCCCTGCCTCCCCGCCGTCCCCTCGCGCCTCCGGCCTCGGCGGCGAGCGGCGTAGCGGGCGGGGGGGCGGCGCTTCCCCTCCCTTCCCTGCTACGTTGGCCCCCCCCCCCTTGCTCCCCCCCTCTGCACCCCTCCCCTCCCCTCCCCACCGACCAATCCATCCCCCACCTCCCTGGTTTCCCTGCCTGCTCCCTCACCGGGTCCCCACCTGACTCCCCCCCCACCTCCCTCCCTCCTTCCATCCTTCCCGCTCCCCCTCCCTGCCTCCTTTCTTCCTCCCCTCTTTCCCTCCCTCCTTCCCTCCGTCCGTCGCTCCCTCCCTCTTTTTCCGAGGCATGCCGCGGGAGCGATCGCTCGAGGCGTCAGGGGGCCTGCCGAAACAGGCGGGCAAGAGCAGCAGGCAGGCGCCCGCGATCCACAAGGTCGAAAGGAACCGCAGGCCAGTCACAGTCGGCTCGCTTTACACGCTGTCGACCCAGCTCGAACCCCCCATCATCCTGCCTGCTCCAGCTACCACCCACCACTTCTCCAGAAGCTGGCCGAGCGCAAGCGGCCGCTGGCCCAAGACGACGTGCATTTCCTCCGAGACCTCCTCCAACTCCTCCTCCGACATCCACCCCCAACACCACCTCCATCATCATATATGCACAGTCGGAGGACCAGCCACGGGCGCGAAGCTGCTTGAGCTAGCGGCGCCAAGCCCATGCCACGAGCGACCTCTCCTGCGCCTGAAGAGAGATCGGGGTGGGGGCACGGGCATAGTACGGGAGAGAAACGCCAGCGTCGACTGTGAGAGGCTGGGCTGCCCAACACTATTAACCACGGTCACAATCAGGCGCTCATTTTCGCCGTACTCGCCCACTGTATCGGGAGAAGGCCTCCGATAGATGTACACCGATACGTCGACTATGAGAGGCCGACCCAGTCCACGAGATCAGCCACGGTCACAGCCATGCACTCTCATCTCGAGCTCCTCCTCACCTCTCCTCATCGAAGCCCCCCCCCTCTCAACAGAAGAGCGGGTGGACTGCAGACAGTCGCCAGCAACCTGCATGTCGCCAGCGAAAAACGTGTGCAGTAAGGTGAACGAGCGTCGTCGTAACCATCCACCCCCCCTCATCATCGTCTCGACACGACGACATGCTGGCTCGAGCAAGCGAGGCTGAGCGGGGCGGTAGGCTCGCGGCTGAGCACAGGGGAGCTCGGCAACAGCAGGCGCGCCCAGCAACAGCGGGCGCTGCGTCGTCGTCACGTCGCCGTCGCACGTTCTCGACTTGGCGGCGTCGCCGTAGCAGGTCCAGCAAGCACTCGCACTCTGCGTCGGGCGGCAAGAGGGCCATGCACTGGTCGCAACACGACGGGGAGCTCACACAAGCCCGTCGCGAAAGGGACGATACAGATCCTTACCCCCCTCGTCATCCTCCATCCAACCGCCTCTCCTCTATGTCGCCGAACAGTGGCTGGAAGTGGACAACATCGTGACAGCCAGGAGCTGGCAGACGAAGGCACCCAGACCGTGTGCATTAAAATGAACCGACGTCGTCGTAACCCTCCACCTCTTCCACGATCGAACCTCCTCCTCCTCATGTGACATCCGCGGGAGGCTGGCCTATTGCCAAGCTCAGCCAAGGCCACGGTCTGGCAGTCGACACCTTCTAGGCCTGGGCATGCACCATTCTACGGGCGCTTACGAGCCCAGCCAGTCCGATCAACGCCGGCTGTCACGACATCCTCCTCACCACCAACACCCTCCATCGTCCTACTAGCCGAAAGCGTGGCAGACGGATCACTCGTCCGCTGTCGGGCGGGTCGGCGCGTGCTTGGCGAAAGGGTTGAAGCTGCGCATCACTTGCTTGAAGTCGAATAACATCAACGACCCGTACGAGAAACGCCGAATAGAGATACAAGCAGACAATCGGGGTCGAGAGCACCAGGAAGCAGCACGGCCCCAACGGACAGCTGCGTGCAGGGGCAGCGGCGAGGGCAAACACAGAACGCTCCTCCCCACCTCCTACCTCAACTCCTCCTCGTCCTCGTCCTCATAGCCGAAAACGCGGCAGAGGGATCACTCGCCCGCTGCGTCGGGCGGCGAAGAGACGGACTGGTCGCAATCAGGAGGGCGCCGTCACCAGGTTGAAGGCGGCGTCGGTGTGAAGCTGGAGCTCGCCGGCAAAGAAGGCGTCGAACACAGACTCCTCCGCGCAGATGTGCTCGATCACCTTGGCCACTCCTGGCTGCCCTCGGTGGGCTGCCATATCGTACAGCTGCTCAAACGCCATATCGTTGGCAGGCGTGTTGTGGTACTCGTACTTCCTGGCGGCCTGGTGGAAGGATTGTCTCAGGATGTCCCTGCTCTGGTTCCCCACGAGCTCCAAGGAGGAGGCCCTGACGCGGATGGACTCCGACCCTGCCTTGAATATCCAGCGTCCTGAGCCTGTGTCGAATGGCCCTAGTATCCCTTCGCGTCTGTTCAAAAGTGGTCTCGCCTTGATGCCAATCAACCGTACTGGCATGCCAGAGGCAAGAGCGCCGTATGTAACATCTGGGGCACGGACTTCTGCAACGACTGCAGGTGCAGGATGAACCACGGAGTCTCCAGGCTGAGCCACTGCACAATCAGTATGCGGCTGGGCTGCTGCCTGCTCATGCTGGCCCACTGCAGGTCCAGGGCGAAAATCACCACCTGAGTCCCGAAAATTTTCATCAGCCGAATGGTCGCCTTCAACCACAAGCTCTCTATCAGTGTCACGAGGGTCGCCCACGCCAACACAATCATCATGCTGACCCCCTGCAAGTCCAGGACGAAGATCACCGCCTGCGTCCCGAAACTCTCCATCAGCACAATGGTCGCCTGCAACAACCATTTCACCACCAATGTCACGAGGGTCACCCACAGCAGCACAATCATCTCTAAAATCGTCTCGACGAGCGCCTCCAGCACGCTGAGACTCGCCCTTGTCCTCGTTCGCGTCCTGGAGAGGCACCTCGGCTTCGTGCCAGCCCTCGGGAGCCTCGTATTGCAGAGGCGGCGGCACAGCGTCGGCGGGAGAGAACCCGTTCCTGGCCAGAGAAGCCCAGGCCGCCTCGCACGGAGGCACCTTGGCGGCCTCAGACTCGACGACCTCGAACGTCTCATCGGACTCCTCTACGTCCCCGAAGTCCACTTCCACCTCAATCCTCCAACAGCCAGGCGGCGGAAGACCAGGTGGCGGCAAGGGTGACCTTGCAGCGCAGGAGATCCATCTCATCACCCTGGTCCGCTCGATCTGCTCGTTGCGGATCGCCGCCCGCCTCGTACGTAGGCGGCGGCGAAGAGAACTGGTATACGTTGAAGTTCTCGATGCCTCGGTCACCATCGAATTGGCGTCCGAGGCTCGTCCAGCGTGAACTCGAAGTTCCAGTCGAGAGCGGTGCCTGCGGGGCGTCGAAGCGGCCTCGATCACGGCCTGCTCGAGCTCCTCGAACTCGACGGCCAGCCACCTGCGGCGGCCGCGGGCCTCGCGGCGCGCTGAGCTGCGCCCTCCCTGCGGGGGGCCCGATGGCGCGGCGCGGCGGCGGGGCGCGCAGCGGACGGGCCCCCCCGCGTAGGAGAGGCACAGCTTGCTCCCTCCCTCCCTCCCTCCTTCCCTCCCTCCCTCCCCCCCTCCTTTCCTCCCACCCTCCCGCGCGCGCAGATTAACCTGCCGGATGCCCGACGGCAAGGAGCACAAGATCACGTGCAACCTTGGCGCGCCGCCTCCCGGCCGAGCGGCCGCTGGCGATCAAGGGGGGAGGGAGGGAGAGGGAGGAGGGAGAGGGAGAAGTGAGAGGGAGAAGGAAGGGAGGGAGAAGGAAGGGAGGGAGGGAGGGTGGAGGGAAGGGGAGGGAGGGAGGTGGACGTGGAGGAGGGGAGGAGGAGGAGGAGGTAGGGAGGGAGGAGGAGGTATGAAAGAAGGAGGGAGGAGGAGCAGGAGAGGGGAGGAGGGAGGAAGGGGAGGGAGGGAGGGAGGAGGAGGAGGGAGGAGGTGAGAGGTGAAAGGGGAGGACGGAGGGGGAGGAGGGAGAGGGAGGAGGGATGAGGGAGGAGGGGATTCCCGAGGGTTCGTGGGGACCAGCCTCAGAATATTGCAAAGTGGACCTGGCGAGTTTTTGTACACATGGAGGGTGCTGGACGTCTGATGGACCACGCGCCTGGCATTGATACCTCCACTCGTCATCGGGCCCTCAGCGTTGAGGATCGGAAACCATACGAGGACCTGGCGGCCATCGCGATTCAGGACCATCTGGCTGGTCGCCGAGCTTTTGGGCCACTGAGGCGTTCGAGAGCTCAGCCTCTGAGCAATGCTGGTCAGGTGCTGGTGGCGCCCGCGGCTGGCCCTGCAGGCCAGGCAGCGGTCGATGGCAATCGGGCCCTCTCGAGCGACGGCATCACCCTGCAGAACTCCCTGGTCGAGCGGGCGCGCCGGGGGGCGGCGCTCGCAGCCGAGCAGGCCCGACTCCGTGACGCAGCCGACGGATGTGGGAGGAGGTAGGAGGGAGGAGGGAGGAGAGGGGAGAGCGGAAAGGGAGGGAGAGGGGGGGCAGTGAGGGTGGCTGTGGCGGAGGTGTGGGGAGTGGGCGGGAAGGAGGAGAGGGAGGAGGGGAGGGAGGGGAGGACGGGGCGGGTGGATACTATGTGGGGGGGGAGAAGGGGGGAGGAGAAGGTGGGGGGGTGGGGGGGGGGGGGAGGAGGGAGGAGGGGGGATGGGGGGGGGGGAGGGGAGGGCGGGTGAAGGGGGGGAGGAGGGACGGTGCTGGTCGGGAAGGTGGTGCGGGTGGGAGGACGGTCGTGGAGGGAGGAGAGTGAGGTCAGGAATGGCGGGGTTCTATGCCTGCGGTCTGCGGCTGTGTCGGTCGGTACTTCGCTGTCGTAGGCGGGATTAGGTGTGCGTGGCCGGCCCGTTCTTGTCTTCTGATTCTTTCGTCTTGTCGTGCTGTCTGCTTCTTGCTGCTGTCTTCTTCCGGTTCTGCGCTGCTGTTGCTGCTTCTTCTTCTTTCTTCGTTCTGTACTTACCGAGCTTCTTCTTCGTCTTCGTCTTCTCTTTCTCCCGTTCGCTGGGCTTTCTTGCCTTCTTCTGTATTGAAGGCTCCTGGCATTTCCGCCTTCTCCTTCGGGCGGTTCTACCTCGTGCTATGTCGGGAGACTCTGTGTACCCCCCACACCACCTACTCCTCCTTGATGGGCAGGGCTCGCGGCGCAGCGCGCCCCGTGCCTCGCACCACTCTCCCTCGTCTCCCTCCCCTCTTTCATTCCCTCCTCGCCCTACACCCCCGCCCTCCCCCCCTCCCCTCCCCGCACCACCCACTCCCCTCCCCTCTGCCCTCACCCCCCACCACCGCCCAACCCTACCCGTCGCTCAGGCGCGATGCCCCCCCCTGCCCTCGAGCCCCCTGCCTCTCGTTCCCTCCCCCCGTCCCCTCCTCGCTCCCCTTATTTTCCCCCCTTTCTCTCCCCTCCCTCTTCGCAGGCGCCGCCGCCGGCCCCTCCACCCCCCATCCTCCCTCGTGCACTCCTCTCCCCCTTCCCTGCTCCTTCCGTCTCTGCAGCATGGGCGGAGGTGTTGGCCTCTCACCTCGCCCTCGTGGGGTCGCTGATGAAGCTGGCTCGCCTACCCTTCTCCCCTGGCTGCCCCAGCTTGCCCAGGAACGTAGGATTTCGCGATCGAAGGCCTCTTGCGCATCTATGGGCCATGTCTTGCCAGTTCCAGGTCCATGTCAGCCCTCCCCTATCGTCCCCCCTCGCCCAGGGTCCAGGACCCCCTTTCCCTCAGAACCCTTCTTCCTTCATGCCAGGCGATGCAATACCTCCGTGCCTGGCTTGGCGCTGCCGTCGGCTCCCCCCCGCCCGGTGCCACAGGCCACGACGTTGCGTACGCGAAGGGCCTGCTGTGCAAGATGATCTCGGCCGCGGCCCTGGCCGCCTGTGCTCCTGGGCCGCTGGACCCCCCGGGATCGGGTCGGACGAACGGCGGGGGTCGGGTCGGGCCGCGTCGGGTCCGACGACATCCCGCCAGGTCTGCGTCACGGCGACCGCAGCTGCCCGCCGGCCCTCCGCGCGGCGCAGCACGCAGGGGCCTGGTGCTCCTACGTGGCTGCCGATGCCCCGCCCCCTCCTCCTCCTCCTCCTCCTCCTCCTCCTCCTCCTCCTCCTCATCGTCCTCCTCCTCCTCCTCCTGCTTCCCCCTCACCCCTTCCGCACCGTGGCGCCGCATCGGATCCAGGCTGGCTAGACGCTTTGAGCATCAAGGGAGGGATAGGGAAAGCGGGGAGTACGACATTTGCTGCCCCGCCGCCGGGCGCTGTCCTCGATGCATGATCTTCTCTTGCGCTGGGAAAATCAACTGCGCGAGCTCATTCGATGACCCCCCTGTGTGCCATCCTCCTCTCGTCCGACCGACTGGAGGGTTCAGAGAGGGTCGAGGCGAAGAAGACCAAATGACGCAAACATAAACTTTTGGAGGTCCGCGTGGATATCTTGGACCGGCGCTGGCCCACCCCCGCCCTGGCGCGCGAAGCGCGGCGGCGGCGGCGCCAGAAGTCCAAGAAATCTGCGCAGATCTCCGAAACTTTCTGTCAATGTATGTAGTTTCTTGGTTCATTCGCAGGAGGTAGCTCCACCCGGCACCTTTGGCCCTCTCGGGCTGTGTTGGGTTCTCGGGCTGTCTTGGTGCCCAATTGGGGCGTAATCGTGTTTCTTTTGGGTCCGAGCAGACTGATTTTTGGGTCTCCTGGGCCTCCTGGGCGACCGCCTTCGCTCAGAGATCTTTCCCGAGTCCCGAATGACGACGACGACAACGACGACGACGACGCCGCTGACGACGATGATGAATATGACGGCGACGAGGAGGAATAATAATAACAGTATTATTATTCTTAGTACTATTATGAATAATGCTGATGACGATGACGATGATGCTGACGATGATAATGGTGTTGGTGGTTTTGGTGACGATGATGACGATGATGCTGATGCTGATGCTGCTGATGCTGATGCTGATGCTGCTGATGATCATGGTGATGATGTTATTGCTGATGATGGTTACGATGATGATGATGATGATGATGATGATAATGATGATGATGATGATGATGATGATGATGATGATGATGATGATGATGATAATACTGATGATGATGCTGATTCTGGTGATGATGATGATGGTGATGAAGCTGATGATGTTGCTGATGATGAGACTGCTGCTGATGATGATGGTCATGATGATGATGCTTATGATAGTGATGATGATGCTGATGATGATACTGATTCTGAGTATGATGATGATGACGATGATGATGCTGATGATGATGATGATGATGACGATGACAACGATGATGATGCTGCTGATGATGATGATGATTATGCTTCTGATGATGATGATGGCGATTGTGTTGTTGCTGCTGCTGATGATGATGCTGAGGATGGTGATGCTGATGCTGATGATGATGCTGATGACGATGCTGATGATGATGATGCTGCTGATGATGATTCTGATGATGGTGGCGATGATGATGATGATGGTGGTGGTTGTGGTGGTGGTGATGGTGATGATGGTGGTGGCGGTGCTGGTGATGGTGGTGGTGGTGGTGATGATGATGATGATGATGATGGTGGCGGTCATGATGATGATGATGATGATGATGATGATGATGATGATGATGATGATGATGATGATGATGATGATGATGATGATG